CAAAGCCACGACCATATCCAATGCCTGGAGCACCATAGGCAACGGCCACCATTACGGCCAACACCGTCAGTACTGACAAGAAACGCTGTCAAAGGAAAGGGTAACATTATTACTTGGATAACAGTAAGTTTAATACTATGATCATTATGAAGAAGTAATCATTGATAGTTGCAACTGATCACTTGATAATTACAAATATTCACAGGTGGTAATACAACATTTACCATTGTTGTAGAAGGTGTGTGGTTGAGGAGTAAAGCCAGAGTGATGCCAAGAGAGGAATGTGAAGGACTTTATATAGGACCGGCGACGCCTCCCACCCACCGTAACCTTCAGCAGTTCACCTTCCCTGCTCCTCACGACTCTTCCTTGTTACTGGTACTAGTTTTCCGAGATAATATTATACATTTTGTACAATTTTCTTTCGTTAAAAAAATAATTAGCAAAGATGGAAATAATATTTTTGACATATATTTGTCAAAACAACATTCACTGTGACATTGGTTTTCTAGTGTGACACATGGGGTATATAAACAAAGAGGTGTCCACTGTTTCTAGATGTATACACAATGTGAGTTTACTTTAATCCTAGACAATATCCAGAACTAAAGTATACTTGCTGGTTGGTCAGTAAACACACTTGAGTAGCCTTAATGACCCTTTTCAGGTTGACAGGTCTTAACCCCATCAACAAACCAAAACCGCCGTGAGATTTATTTTATTTGTTGCAGAATTTTCTTCTTTCTTTATTATGCACCCCATACCCATCCTGTGGGAGGTGGTGGAAAGGGTTACAGAGGCACATAATCGGTTCAAGAATTGAACCCCCTAGTTTGTTTAGCTAAGCAAATAACAATGCATTAACGCTAGTTACACAATTACTAATGGTATATATATATATATATATATATATATATATATATATATATATATATATATATATATATATATATATATATATATATATATTTATATAATATTTTTAAATATAGGAAGGGAGTACCACCTCTAGCTGGAAGAAGGGGGACCTATAGCCTCGGAGGAAACCACGCATAACGCATTAGAGGGAATGTTTAGATCCCCTCCAATACAGTTTCTGTGTGCTTTTCTCCTACCACCCCCTTCCTTTTTTATTTTTTTGTGCTTTATTATGTATTTGATGGTTACAAGATATACATGGGTTGATACAAAAAAAAATATACACACACACACACACACACATATATATATATATATATATATATATATATATATATATATATATATATATATATATATATATACATATATATATGTTGTACCTAGTAGCCAGAACGCACTTTTCAGCCTACCATGCAAGGCCTGATTTGCCTAATAGGCCGAATAAATTTCTTTATTTTCCATAAATTGTTTTCAATTGGTTTATTTGAATTATAATTATTATATTATATTAAGAACATAAATTATTGAGTTAGTTATGTTAGTTTAGGTTTGGTTAAGTTAGGTTAGGGTAGGTTAGGTTAGGTTTGGTCATATATCTACGTTAGTCACAACCCAAATTTAACAAAATTAACGAATACATAATGAAATGGCTAGCTTTATCATTTCATAAAAAACAATTAAAAAAATATATAAATTCAGGAAAACTTGGCTTATTAAGGAAATTGGGCCTTGCATAGAAGTATAGAAACTTTTAGACACCCAACACCCACCAGGGGACTTAAACCCTGGCCACCAAGATGGCAGGTACGCACTTATACCCACTGCACCATACTCAGAGCCCCAAAAGAGGTGGGAATTCTGGGGTATTTAACTCCCAGACAACCCATCCTCTCCAGGCAATGGTATAGTGAGAGGCAATTGGCGTTTTCCATCAAGCCTTGTTATATGGGAGAATATAACAGCATGGACCACGTGTTCTCCCATATAACAAGGCTTGATGGAAAACGTCAATTGCCTCTCACAATACCATTGCCTGGATTGCCTGGAGAGGGTGGGTTGTCTGGGAGTTAAATACCCCAGAACTCCTACCTCTTTTGGGCCTAATAAGCCAAGTTTTCTCTGAGTATGGTGCAGTGGGTATAAGTGCGTACCTGCCATCTTGGTGGCCAGGGTTCAAGTCGCCTTGTGGGTTATTTGGGTGTCTAAAAGTTTATATTATATATATATATATATATATATATATATATATATATATATATATATATATATATATATATATATATATATATGTCGTACCTAGTAGCCAGAATGCACTTCCTGGCCTACTATGCAAGGCTCGATTTGCCTAATAGGCTGAGTGATTTTCTTTATTTTCAATAAAAAAATTCCTATTGCTTTTTTTTAAATTATTATCATTATATTATATTAAGAACATAAATTGTTGACTTAGTTATGTTAGTTTAGGTTAGATTAAGATAGGTTAGGTTAGGTAGGGTTGGTTAGGTTCGGTCATATAGCTATGTTAGTTTTAACTCAAATTAACATAAAAATAACTCATTCATAATGAAATGGATAGATTTATCATTTCATAAGAAAAACAGAAAAAAATTAAATTCATGAAAGCTTGGCTTATTACGGGCTCACCATAGCCTGTGCTACTTGGAACTTTTAGTTCCCAGTAACTGAGTCTTAAACAACATACATCCAATCTTTCGACTACAAAACTTGATAATGGTCAAGAATAGACAGAAAAGTCGTCGTTTCTTCAATTTCTGATATATGGTTTGGTCATCAATTTCTGGTGTGCAGTTTAGTCATCAATTTCTGATGTGTCGTTTGCTCATCATATCTTCAGCCACGTTATTGTGACCAATCGTCAGTCTACTTCATAAGTCATTAGTAAAAATTATAATTCCATTAAATTTGGCAACCAAAATAATAATCGATGAGTTTTATGGTAAGTTATTTGTCTTTGCTTATGCTCGGAAGGTATTTATATTTTTTATTAAATTATATGTGAGTTTTTGATGTGAATCAACACCTCCGTTCACATGATATAGTAGTATTTAAAGTTCGATTAATGATAGCAATTTTATCTAATGTGCACTATAAAACAGTTTGTGTTCTATTAAACTGTTTTATAGAACACTGTCTCTGAAAGCTACTACACGTGTCGTCGAAATTATATGTTCGTCGAATTGAGTTTGATATGTTAAATTCCAATTATTAACATATTTCCCACAATAGTATTTACTGCTTCAATAATATTATATTAAATATTTTATTATTACTGGTTTTAAATCATGAGTGTTTCTTATGATAATAATAATAATAATAATAATAATAATAATAATAATAATAATAATAATAATAATAATAATAATAATATTATTATTATTAATAACACATCCATAATTTCTCCAAGAGGATGTATATTCAGTAAGGTATACTCCACTTCTTGTCGAGTTTTATGTTCAGGAGTAAAGAATTCTTTCAGGATGACATTAACCATCCTGTAAGCAATTTGTGGAGATACTTAGAGGGGGGGGGGGGGGGAAGAGGAGATTAAAATACTCCGAAATTTCCATCTCTTTTAAGGGTCTGAGTTTGGTGTAGTGGGTTAAAGGCGTACCAGCTCTGCCAGTTGCTGTGAAGCATCTGTGCTGGCTAGGGTTCGAGTCTCCAGTTGGGTAAGTGTTCTAAATTTGATATATTTGTATATATATATATATATATATATATATATATATATATATATATATATATATATATATATATATATATATATATTAGATATAATGCAAATGCTGCATTTAATATATTATATATAGGTATATAGCAAAAGTTTATTAGGTATAAGAAACAGGCTTAGAAATATGTAAATCGAGAGGCGCATTCCTCTTCTCAGTATATATGTATATATATATATATATATATATATATATATATATATATATATATATATATATATATATATATATATATATACTATATATATATATATATATGCACAGGGACGCCTTAATCCGCTTGACCATCACGACCGGACAAAAGGATATATATAATATATTTTATCAAATCATCATTCTTTGGGGCACACGTGAGGAACACAAATGCAAACAAGCCTGAATGGTCCCCAGGACTATATACAACTGAAAACTCACACCCCAGAAGTGACTCGAACCCATACTCCCACAACTGGTATGTACAGGGACGCCTTAATCCGCTTGACCATCAGACCGGACAAAAGGAAGTGATAGCCGAGGCTATATGAACCACTTCCCCGCCGGCACTCGGATGGTAATCTTGGGCATAGCATTTTATCAAATCACCTCATTCTTTGGGGCACACGTGAGGAACACAAATGCAAACAAGCCTGAATGGTCCCCAGGACTATATACAACTGAAAACTCACACCCCAGAAGTGACTCGAACCCATACTCCCACAACTGGTATGTACAGGGACGCCTTAATCCGCTTGACCATCACGACCGGACAAAAGGAAGTGATAGCCGAGGCTATATGAACCACTTCCCCGCCGGCACTCGGATGGTAATCTTGGGCATAGCATTTTATCAAATCACCTCATTCTTTGGGGCACACGTGAGGAACACAAATGCAAACAAGCCTGAATGGTCCCCAGGACTATATACAACTGAAGTGAACGGCGGGGAAGTGGTTCATATAGCCTCGGCTATCACTTCCTTTTGTCCGGTCGTGATGGTCAAGCGGATTAAGTTTGCATATATATATATATATATATATATATATATATATATATATATATATATGACCGAAAAATTTATGTATATATATATATATATATATATATGTAATAATATATATATACAAGATATACTGCTATATATATATATATATATATATATATATATATATATATATATATATATATATATATATATATATTTAAAGTAAGATTTAGGCTTGAGCATAGCTCTAACCTAGAGTATTGCTGATGAATGGTTATGGTCATATGGTTTCCAAAATAACCCCACCATGGATGATAGCATTTAAACTGAACACCAAACAACATCAGAGGGTAGTCAGGTTAACAAAAGTGCCATTGAACAGTTTATTTTACAAAAATATTATATAACTGCATGTTGGTTGGCAGCAGGGAGACAAACAGCAACAGGAGCCGGGAGCTTCACCTGCCATAACCTGAAGTAGAGAAGTGAAGGTTTCTCGTTAATTATGATCACAGTTACAACGTATTTTCTTTTAAGATTTGATTCATATTTATTATCAGTGAATATATAGATTCATATTCTTTATTTGAAAATTATATAGTTCCTAATGTATGTGTTTAAATGATGCTGCGATACTCACCATATCCACCATACCGGCGTCTATGTCCACCGAAACCGCCACCAAATCCACCACCAAATCCACCGAGGCCGCCTCCAAAGCCACCGAGGCCGCCTCCAAAGCCACCGAGGCCGCCTCCAAAGCCACCGAGGCCGCCTCCAAAGCCACCGAGGCCGCCTCCAAAGCCACCCAGGCCGCCTCCAAAGCCGCCACCGAAACCACCTAGGCCGCCGCCAAAGCCGCCCCCAAAGCCACGACCATATCCAATGCCGGGAGCACCATAGGCAACGGCCACCATTACGGCCAACACCGTCAGTACTGACAAGAAACGCTGTCAAAGGAAAGGGTAACATTATTACGAGTCTTGGATAACAGTAAGTTTAATACTATGATCATTATGAAGAAGTAATCATTGATAGTTGCAACTGATCAATTGTTAATTACAAATATTCACAGGTGGTAATAACAACATTTACCATTGTTGTAGAAGGTGTGTGGTTGAGGAGTAAAGCCAGAGTGATGCCAAGGGAGGGATGTACAGGACTTTATATAGGACCGGCGATGCCTCACACCCACCGTAACCTTCAGCAGTTCACCTTCCCTGCTCCTCACGACTCTTCCTTGTTACTGGTACTAGTTTTCCAAGATAATATTATACATTTTGTACAATTCACTGTCGTTATAAAAATAATTAGCAAAGATGATAATAATATTTTCGACATATATTTGTCAAAACAACATTCACTGTGACATGGGTTTTCCAGTGTGACACATGGGGTATATAAACGAAGAGTAGGTGTAGTGTGGTTTCATATCAAAACCCATGGTTTTGATATTCATGATAACACTTAACTTTACGTTCTGATATTCCTGATAAATCACTCGAACTGAGAGGTCTGATATTCCTGATACATCACTGAAGCTTAGGATCTGATATTCCTAATACATCACTAAAACTGAAGATCTGATATTCCTGATACCACTTAACTTTAGGTTCTGATGTTCATGATACCTCACTAAAACTGAAGACCTGATATGCCTGATACCACTTAACTTCAGGTTCTGATATTCCTGATACCACTTAACTTCAGCTTCTGATATTCCTGATACATCACTAAAACTGAAATTCTGATACTCCTAATACATGACTAAAGCTGAGGGTCTGATATTCCTGGTATTTTAAATGTATTTAGGCTGTGTATTTTAAATAAATGACCTACTAGATTCACACACATTAGGTGCTAATTGAGGAGGTTCAAGTGAACACAAGCACTCAAAGAACAACTGAGAAAGTTACAACTAATTCATTAAGCCTTTTTGTGTATCAGGAATTTTTATATTTAGTGAGAAATGGACGTGTATACCCAGGAACATACCAACTTTCACCTGTTCCTTGGTTTCTCACAAATTCTAAAAAAAAAAAAAAAAAAAATGGTGATATGTTATTTCTAGAAATATGTGACAAGGGATCTAGAACTTTACTTAGTAGGCATCCTTCAGTCTAAAGACTATGGAGTTGCGCCCTGACTGGGCGCAAAGCCTGGGTAGGTAGATATGGAGAAGCTGTTACCAATGCAGCAGGTCTCCCCTCTCCACGTTGCTGAAATTATCCAATAGAAAGGCAAATGCCAATACACATGGTTCCAGCAACGTCGCAGGAGCTGCCAGAACGAGGTCGACGTCAACAACGAACCGCCTTAGGGGCTCCAACTCCGGATTTTTGCTCGAGGTTGACTCCTGAAGCCTTTCCCAAAAAAGGGGTATGGCTGTAAGGCAGCGGAGGTTTAGAATCAGGGGTTTCCTTCCCCTAGATGGGCTGCCTTCCCAGGCTATCGAGTCCCATCTACCCGGAGCTGCTGGTTTTTAGGCGCCAGAGGCACGCCCTCGCACCTTCTCCTGTCGGTAAAAGCAGTTCCGACTAAGCCACCCGTGCAGGCCAGGAGTTGGACTTGGTTATCAGAGGCTATTTGAGACGCATGCCGTATAGGAGCATTTTATAGGTCATGGGAGCTCGTCCCCCATTACCACCCTCTGGCTATGACAACCCACTTGGAACTTTACTTAGACAATTGACAATCATGCATATGATACAAACTTGTGATGCGGAAGGTCAGTAACACCCATATCCATTCCAGGAAAACCCATCAACATCCTAACCACTCTGTTCTACCTCGGTAGACTGTGTAACATAGTCGTTGGATTATACTACAACATATATATTGCGGTATAAACAAATATTATATTTACTAACTGCTTAGGGAAAAGTTACTGTATGTGAGAATTGCTAATTGCAGAGTGATATTTTAATTACCTCCGAAAACTGTCAAAGATAACCCACATCATTGAAGAACCAATGACGAATCTCGTCATTTAATAATTTATATCAAACCCATAGACGTTTGTTTATATAATTATAAGATCTTCAGTTAGAGAATTAAAGCGAATGACCTTCATAGCTCACGAACTGGTCGGAGCAGCCTCACCCTGAGTCAGCACTAAGGTCTTGCGACGAGTTTGTTTCTTCCTTATGATGATATCTGAAAATTCCAATTAAACTTTTGTGCCTAGAAATTCCATTTAAACGTTTGTAAACTACTGGTACCAGTATTTAGTCCACTTCATAGTCTAATATTTTTTTAGTGACTCTTGTGATAGCCAACTAGTTACCTATATTAGTGCAACAATTTTTGTTTGTTTGAAGAAAAATGTAACGGAACTACTCTGCTCAACAGAGTAGTACATATAATTTTTATTTTTCTGCCATGCATCTCATTGATGAAGAATCTTCCTCAGACATAACAATGTTCTACGGGATTAAATTGCAAAGTATTTCATGCGTGGTGACCAGACCACACATCAGAAGATGACGCCGACGCTTTGGTCCGTTCTGGACCATTATCAAGTCTTGTAATGGAGAGATAGCAAGGGACAGACAAATAAGGCAAGCGAGTGAGATGAGAGGTCAGGAGCAAATAAGCTAGAAAGGTAAGAATATCACGAAAGATAAGAAAACGATGAAAGGAAAGAAAGTTGAAGGTAAGAATAAGGGGAACATAAGCATAAGAAGAAAGGTTAGAATAAGAAAAGGGGGTAAGAATAAGAAAAAAGGGCAAAGCTTAAAAGTCAGATCACGTTTGTTAAGAAGGTTAGAGCATTTATGTATGTTCTGTGAGAGGGAAGAGTTAACAGCAACAAAGTGTTACATGAAGCTTGGTCCTGGCTTTGTTGCTGTTGACTCTTCCCTTTCACAGCACATACTTAAATGCTCTAACCTTCTTAACAAACGCCGATCAAAACCGTCAGTCTGGTGTTGACAACACCAGGACACCTTCACCACTCGACCATCACGACCGTTCAAAAGATGTTGGTAGCCGAAGCTATTTACCCCATCATCCTGATGGTAATCTTGGGCATAGTGTTTTATCAAATCACCTCATTCTTTGGGGTGATTTGATAAAATACAATGCATTAAATACGGAATAAAATACAGAATACATTCTCTCTCATAATTAATACATAATTAATAATAATAATAATAATAATAATAATAATAAATAGTAAAATTACACATAGGATAATAAATAATAAAAATATGAGTGAATTCAAAATACAAATAATAATTATTGTAAAATAAAAAATTGTATTACAAAATACTAATAATTAATATTATTAATCATAACATACCTTTTTTCAGAGTAAATACGCTAAACAAAATTTACTGTTTGAAATCATGAGTAGCCAATCTCACTCCCCTTGAAGGAATAATAATGTTACAACATTGCCTCAAGACGTAGTAGGAAAGGTGGTCTGATGAAGGTTAAAGTGGGTGGGAGACGCCACTGGTCCTATATAAGATCCTGTCCACTCTCCCTTGGCATCACTTTGACTTTACTCGTCAACCACACTTCTACAGCGATGGTAAATGTTGCTATTACGACTTGTGGTATTTAATATATTGTGTGTCTGTCACTGATCGCTTATTCATAATTGCAATAGTTTACCTTCGTTACCATTATGTCATTTAAATTTTACTTTTCCAATGCGTTTTTTCTATTTTTTTTTTACTTTTGTACAGCGTTTCCTCTCAGTACTGACGGTGTTGGCCGTGATGGTGGCCGTTGCCTATGGTGCTCCAGGCATTGGATATGGTCGCGGTATTGGAGGATTTGGCGGAGGCCTAGGTGGATTTGGCGGAGGCCTGGGTGGATTTGGCGGTGGTTTTGGTGGCGGCCTAGGTGGATTTGGTGGAGGCTTGGGTGGATTTGGCGGTGGATTTGGCGGCGGCTTTGGTGGATTTGGTGGCGGCTTCGGTGGACATCGCCGCCGGTATGGTGGATATGGCAAGTATAGCAGTAAAAAGTTTGATGAGCGATGAAAGATATTATTATTATTATTATTATTAATAAAGAGTTATGGACTATATATATATATATATATATATATATATATATATATATATATATATATATATATATATATAAATATATATATATATATATATATATATATATATATATATATATAATGCTCTGTGTTCCCTTCTCTGAGGCTGTGGGCCCCTATAATTGCACCAGATATATATATATATATATATATATATATATATATATATATATATATATATATATATATATATATATATATCAGTTCCGTGACAACCGAACTACTGATCGTCTATCAATGGTGCAGTGGTCACGGTGCAGTGAACGTTTGGGGGTGATCCTGGACATCATGCATTCGAATCCTGGTCGGGGTCCTATAAAGTTCTTAAAGATATATACATGTTGACTAATAAAAAATTCAATAAGTATAAAATTAAAATTTCTAATAAGGATAAATATGATTATATACATTAAAGGATTTACCCCATTAATATGTTACATTGTTAATGAAAAATCTCCGCTTCATCATTTCAGGCTATGGCAGGTGAAGCTCCCGGCGTCTGATGGTGTCTGGCTCCCTCCTCCCGTCTTCTCACTCATTTATATTACTTTGGTAAATAAATTTAACTGTGATGCTGTTGTTTATCTGAAGGCCTACTGCAGTTACCGATTACCTTCTGGTATTACTAAACTACCTACTGGTATTACACGACTTCCTCATATCGTCATACAACTACCTCCCAGTATTACAAACTATGAAATCGTAATTTCTGACTCTACTGGTATTGCTTGACTAACTGTTAGTATTGCCTGACTTCCTACATATATTTTCTAACTGCCTACTGTTTTTTCGTGACCTGATTAATTTAATTAAATAAATTTTGCCCCTAAGTGGCGAATTTATTGGTCAGCGACACTCATCTTGTGAGTGTACATACCGCCATATCAGCATGTTCAACACCCACAATAGGAAGAAAACTCGCTGGGTTAATTGTTCATCCTGACACTTGTACCCAAACACAGCTTTGACTTTCTTAATTAACTGTCTCAAGTCAGCAACTTATTAAACAATAAGATTAACATTTGTCAAACCTTAAGAACTTACGTTATCTTGTGGGAGCAAAATGGGGAAATCTTTAAAGAACAGTGTCTATATTTGACGAATAGCATTTTCCTAACTCAAACAATGTGGGGTTTATTATTCTACACATATATCTAATGTCTCTTTGATATTCACATGTTCACAAGTAGCGGTCGTTTGTCTCTATACATTACTTGTCTTCCTTCTATATTTACTACTCTCTACTGTTATTATCTGACCGCCTACTGGAATTATCAGACTATCTTCTGGCATTTTCAGATTTCCTCCTGATCATACCAGCCTGCCTCTATATATATATATATATATATATATATATATATATATATATATATATATATATATATATATATACATTTGTCTTGTATGTTTTGTAATGAAACTGTATTGGAGGGGACCTACATTCCCTCCAATGCGTTATGTGTGGTTTCCTCCGAGGCTATGGGTCCCCCTTCTTCCAGCCAGAGGTGGTACTCCCTTCCCTATTTTTTATAAGAAATTATATATATATATATATATATATATATATATATATATATATATATATATATATATATATATATATATATATATGACAGTGTCAGACCACGGAGGAAAATTGAAACAGGAATTTCCTTAAGTACTTTCGTATATTAATACATCTTCAGAAGGAGTGGTTTTACAGGTCGAGTACTGGACATATATAGGCACGAGAGAATGGTTGAGTGAGGTGAGGTACAATAAGTGGACACAAATATGAGCCGCACAAAAACTGTAGAGGACCTATTGGCCCATCCGATGCAGCTCCCATTCATAACCACACACAGGCCCACACATGGAGAATCATACCATAAGATAGTAAATATTTACAATGAATTAGTGAGACAAATGTGTTCAATGACCCTACTCCGATCGCCTTTTAATTGATCTATTAAAAATTGATCTAAGTTATATAAACCACTGCTAATGTTCAAATTACTTTCTTTTGTGATCTGTATCAAAGCAGATTCAATTATGTTTCTGTTATACGTGCTTTTACAATTCGTTATTGAAGAAACCATCTCCCAATCAATTTTGTGAGCATTTCTGACAGATGAACAAACAAAGCATTAGACAATTGGCCATGTCTTACAGAGTATTTACGTTGCGAAATTCTACATTTCAAATCTTTAGATGTTTGCTTAACATAGAACTTATTACAGTCTTTACAAAGTATTTTATAAATGACACAATTATCACTACGAGGGCTGTTTCTAACTAATAGCTTACCAACAGTATTTTCATAGCTAAACAATAAATAAATAATAATTAAATAAATGTTTATTCAGGTAAGGTACATACATACAAGAGATTTTACAAAAATTGATAGATTTATAGATAGAGCTAGTACATACAATGCCTAAAGCCACTATTACGCAAAGCGTTTCGGGCAGAACATGTATATGTTCTGCTATATATACATATAAATATGTATATGATATACATGTATATAATACATGTATATCAAAAAGTTTCAAGGCCTTGACAATATTCTCAAACCCAGAGAAATATGGTAAACATAACACATTAAAAAAATTCTCCCTAAAGAATGTGTTATGTTTACCATATTTCTCTGGGTTTGAGAATATTGTCAAGGCCTTGAAACTTTTTTATATACATGTATTGTTTAGTTATGAAAATACTGTTGGTAAGCGACCTAACCACATCAAACAAATGCTCAACCCTGCACTGGGAGACATTGCACAGGGCCTCCTGGTGGAACTAACTAGATTCTCCAACACATGTCTAGCTCGCAACATAACAGAGACCATACGGCCTCTCTTTTTTGGCGCTAACCTCAGTGCTCTGAGGAAAAAAGATGGAGGAATTAGACCGATAGCTCTGGGCAATTCACTCCAACGCCTCGTCGCTATATATATATTGAAAGTAAGATTTAGGCTTGAGCACATCTGTAACCTAAAGTATTGCTGATAATTGGTTATGGTCATATGATTTTCAAAATAACCCCACCATGGATGATAGCCTTTAATCTGAACACCAAACAACATCAGAAGGTAATCAGGTAAACAAAAGTGACTTTGAACAGTTTATTTTACAAAATAAAATATAAACTGCATGGTGGTGGCAGCAGGGAGACAACTACTGGAGCCTGGAGCTTCACCTGCCATAACCTGAAATAGTGAAGTAAAGATTTCTCATTAATTATGTTCACAGTTACGATGTATTTCCTTTTAAGATTTTATTCATATTTATTAACAATGCATATTTAGATTATTATTCTTTATTAAAAAAAATAATTAATTCTTAATGTATGTGTTTAAACTGAGGTGCAATACTCACCATATCCACCATACCGGCGTCTGTATCCACCGAAACCGCCACCAAATCCTCCAAGGCCGCCTCCAAATCCACCCAAGCCGCCTCCAAATCCACCCAAGCCGCCTCTAAATCCACCCAAGCCGCCTCCATATCCACCCAGGCCGCCTCCAATGCCACCAAGGCCGCCTCCAAAGCCACCCAGGCCGCCACCGAAACCACCTAGGCCGCCGCCAAAGCCACCTAGGCCGCCCCCAAAGCCGCCAATGCCACGACCATATCCAATGCCTGGAGCACCATAGGCAACGGCCACCATCACGGCCAACACCGTCAGTACTGACAAGAAACGCTGTCAAATGAAAGAGTAACATTATTTTGAGGCTTGGATGACAGTAAGTTTAATACTATGATCATTATAAAGAAGTATTCAATGATAGTCACACTACAAAAAATCTCAGGTGGTAATAACAACATTTACCATGGTTGTGGAAGTTGTGTGGTTGAGGAGTGAAGCTAGAGTGATGCCAAGGGAGGGTGTGCAGGATCTTATATAGGATTGGCGATGCCTCCCACCAACCGTAACCTTGACCATCCAAGGTTCCCTGCTCCTCATGACACTTCCTTGTTACTGATACTAGTGTTCCAAGCAACCCGTCCTTTGAAAATACCGTCGCTTTTCGCCCGTATGCGCGCAATGCCCAAAACCTGACGTAATTTGAAATGAAATCGGCTCACGAAAGTGATGTACTACCTCGTTTTCTGCTTGGGTCCTCCAGCTTAGTCTGTTAGGTTTGGAAAGGACACTTTTAATTAACGTTTTTCATGACATTTTGAAACTTTAGGAGAATTTCCTGCCCTTCTAACCTTCCAGAGGACCCTTAAATTACTGTTTTGGAAAATTAAAATACAAAATTTACTTTCCATTTTTTTATTTTCATATTACGTCAGTTTTCGGCAATACGGGCAGATGGCTAAATTCTGACGTAATTTGTAAGAAGACAAGTTGTCAAGATAATATTATACAATTTGTACAATTCACTGTCTTTAAAAATATAATTAGCAACGATATTCATAATATTTACGACACACATGTTTCAAAAGACATTAAATAAAAATATGAAATTTCATTTGTACTTCTTTGATTTTCCGCTGTGATACATTCGGTACCTATGTCTCAGGTACACACAGTGATATAAGAGTGAGGTGATTGTTGCCTGACTCCAAATATTAGCTGTCTGCCAGGTCTAAACAACAGAACCGAGGCATATGAGAAACAGTCAGCAAGAAAATAGAAGGCAACACAGTCGGAGAGATCAGGGTCATGACCAGTGAGGACACAGTTGTCACCAGGGATGCCAAAACGAGCACAAGCCCAGAGAGAAAAACCTGAACCCAGAGTTCCACGTGACGACAGTGTTCCACCAGTCGGTGCCACAAGAGCGGAACCCCAGTATGTGGTCGAATCCATGGTGCATTAAGCAGCTTTATTCTTCTCACAAGGATCTGCAGGCGGGTTCATAGGGCTAAGACTCAACCACATAAAACAAATGCTCAACCCTGCACTGAGAGTCATTGCACAGGGCCTCCTGGTGGAACTAACTTGATTCTCCAACACATGTCTAGCTGGCAACATACAAGAGACCATACGGCCTCTCATTTTTGGCGCTGCCCTCTGTGCCCTGAGGAAAAAGGATAGAGGAATCAGACCGATTGCTGTGGGCAATTCACTCCGGCGCCTCGTCGCTAAGGCTGCTGCTTGAAAAGTTAGCCAGGCAGCAGCAGACATGCTGAAGCCAAAACAGCTTTGGTTTGGCAAATCCCAAGGGTGTAAGGTGGCGGCTCATGCAGCTAGAGCCTACATTGCCAACATTACAGACGAAAAAGCTCTGATAGAAATAGATTTCAAAAATGCCTTCACTCTGGAAAGAAGGGATGCAGTAGTCAGTGCGGTTCATCGCCTTTTTCCTTCCCTCTACCCGTCTGTAAACTTATGTTAGAGCAAGAATCTAACTCTGTTATTCGGGGAACATGAATAAAAGGGTAGGGCTATAAGTGACAGCCGGTGTTTAGGGATGTGTTTTAGGGGCTGTACTTACCATGATGATTGATGAAGATTAAGCCACCCAAGAGGTGTCACGAGCATGAATAGCTCGTAATTTCAACCTTAATTTCTCTCTTTACCTCTCCCACCTCATTGGTTGAGTTTAGTAAATCTGTGCATACCAGATCCTCTTTAATATACAGACCTTCTCCTCCATTTGACTTAGTTTCTCTTTCGCATCTACATAAATTATAATTATGAATCCTTGTTGCACTATACAAGTAATCTTTTGTATGAGTATCCGTGAATGCTCCAAATATTGGGTTTGACTCTACTAGGCCATTTATGAACTTAATTTCTTGATTTTGACTTTAGGCCTTGTATGTTTGCAAATATGAATGATTTTTCATATTGTGTGTCACTTCTGGAGGGTTTTGTTAGTTCTACCCCCTCTTCTCCCTGATCCAGGATGTGCATATAATTAAAATGAGAAAGATAAATAGTACCTAACAGAGGAAAATTTTGGTGAGTCACTTAGAGAGCTAGAAGGTAATAGATCCCGCATAACTAATAATAGGTATCATTGAATAGTTAGACTTATGGATCTTAAATAAACCAGAGATACGGAAAGGAACATGAGATCGTAAGCTGGTAAAAAAGATATCCTCCTTTTTCTTGGTTAAAACCTTCCTTATGCTGCGTTTAAAATTCTTGATGTTAATTTAAATTTGTATCAGCTTAGTGTGAGAGGTTGAAACTTGGGGACCAAATATTTTTGAAAGTAAATTTAGCAATCAAATGATCAATTCCCTTTTAAAGAACTTTCGAACAGTAATTGCATGGATACCATTTCGTTATAGATTTATTCCAGGAATAGATTTTTCCCGTTATATATAACACAAACTGGAAGCTTACTAACAATGTTTTATATTCATGACTATCCAGGGAAAAGAAAACATCAGTCTTTACCATCATGTGCAATACAGCACTTCGCATTGTTTGTACAGCATTTTTAGATAAATTATTTGCAGCGAATAATATTCGTAGAAGCAAACTTTATAAACCATTCTATTATTTTTATTTCCCATTTTAAACCACATAATTCTTAGCATAACAAATCTGTAAACAGAAATCTTATCAAAAAATCATGTCAAAACTTTTAAACTTGTTTTAACATTCATATTTTCAATTGATAAAACTTTGTTAATTATCATAATTATGTTGAATAATTTGAATGAAAAATTGTCATTTAGGTAATAACTAAATCCTTTACAAAGCACAAGGTAAGGAATACAATGCTTATTTTTTTGGGAAAATTTCAAAATATTCGGTAGCTAAAATTAGCTATTTATAATACTTTGTTATGATTGGCCAAAATCCTAAAGCTACGCATATAACTAGATGTAAATAATTTATGAACAGAAATATTATGTAATCTGCTTTTATTCATATAAAAATTCATGTAATATATATAATTATATATGTATGTATGTATGTATGTATGTATGTATGTATGTATGTCGTACCTAGTAGCCAGAACGCACTTCTCAGTCTACTATGCACGGCCCGATTTGCCTAATAAGCCAAGTTTTCATGAATTAATTGTTTTTCGACTACCTAACCTACCTAACCTAACCTAACCTAACTTTTTCGGCAACCTAACCTAACCTAACCTATAAAGATAGGTTAGGTTAGGTTAGGTAGGGTTGGTTAGGTTCGGTCATATATCTACGTTAATTTTAACTCCATTAAAAAAAAATGACCTCATACATAATGAAATGGGTAACTTTATCATTTCATAAGAAAAATATAGAGAAAATATATTATTTCAGGAAAACTTGGCTTATTAGGCAAATCGGGCCATGCATATAAGGCTGAGAAGTGCGTTCTGGCTACTAGGTACGACATGTATATATATATATATATATATATATATATATATATATATATATATATATATATATATATATATATATAATTATATATATATAATTATATATATATATATATATATATATATATATATATATATATATATATATATATATATGTCGTACCTAGTAGCCAGAACGCACTTCTCAGCCTACTATGCAAGGCCCGATTTGCCTAATAAGCCAAGTTTTCCAGAAATAATAAATGTTTTCTAATTTTTTTCTTATGAAATGATAAAGCTAGCCATTTCATGATGTATGAGGTCAATTTTTTTTTATTGGTGTTAAAATTAACGTAGATATACGACCGAACCTAACCAACCCTACCTAACCTAACCTAACCTATCTTTATAGGTTAGGTTAGGTTAGGTAGCTGAAAAAGGTAAGTTAGGTTAGGTTAGGTAGGTTAGGTAGTCGAAAAACAATTAATTCATGAAAACTTGGCTTATTAGGCAAATCGGGCCTTGCATAGTAGGCTGAGAAGTGAGTTCTGGCTACTAAGTACGACATATATATATATATATATATATATATATATATATATATATATATATATATATATATATATGTGTGTGTGTGTGTGTGTGTGTGTGTGTGTGTGTGTGTGTGTGTGTGTGTGTGTGTGTGTGTGTGTGTGTGTGTGTGTGTGTGTGTGTGTGTGTGTGTGTGTGTGTGTGTGTGTGTGTGTGTGTGTATCACGAAAATAAACACGTGATTAAAAATGTGACAGTGTCAGACCACGGAGGAAAATTGAAACAGGAATTTCCTTAAGTACTTTTGTATATTAATACATCTTCAGAAGAAGTGAAGATGTATTCTGAAGATGTATTAATATACGAAAGTACTTAAGGAAATTTTTGAACAAAAAAATTGTTCAAAAATGATAATACAGTTAAGTCCATGTTAATTAAGAACTCGCCCTCGTCTGTAGCAGGTTGTGTGTATTCCATCCCTTGTAATGAGTGTGCATGTGTTTACATCGGCCAGACTGGTAAATCTCTTTCCTCACGTTTAAAACAGCATTCATATGCTATTCGTACAGCCCAGCAATCCAGTGCATTGTATTTACATTCCAGTTTATGTAATCATTCTATCGACTTCACAGGGGCAAAATGTATTGTTAAAAGTAAGGATTTTGTTGAACGAAACGTGATCGAGTCTGCTCTGATCAAACATTGTAACAACAGCCTTAATGTGAGCCCCGGTATGTACAAGTTGGATCCCTATTTAAGCCTCAATATAGCACGTCAAAACAATATAGCAATCATTTAAACACGTATGGCACTTGGAGATATTAAAAGGAGCTGCCTTGTATGGGCCAATAGGCCTTCTGCAGTTACCTTCTTTCTTATAATTCCTTTCCTCCACTTATTTTTGGTGGTCAGGTGATCTGCCCAGGCGGATATAAAGGTCTGATCAGCAAACTTATCTTCATTCTACTTTGCTCTGATGAAGGCGAATTAGCCGAAAACGCGTTAAGCATTTTCTATTTTTCATATGTGGTTATTCTGCATATATATATATATATATATATATATATATATATATATATATATATATATATATATATATATATATATTGAAAGAAAGCTTTAGGCTTGAGCACAGCTATAACTTAAAGTATTGCTGATAAAT